CATGCATGGAAGTGCAGAACTCATCAAAACCGGGTAAGGACCGCGGGTGTGCGGGCGCGCCCTTTGCCGTTCCCGGAAGTTACTTACTTCTGGGTTCGGCGACCAACCGGTTCTCAGGGACCGCCGCGAACCGGTTGAAACCCACCCCTGGTGTACCGGTACATTGTTCCAGGGCCCATGGAGCTCAAAGGGGCCCCATGAATGGGAACATTTTTAAAAAATTTACAAAACCATTTTTTAAAAAAGAGAAACAATATTGAATATATTCTTCATATTTTGTGTGTATAGCAAAGTTGCCTTGCAGCTTTGTTTGACATAACCCTTATTAATCTGAAACTCAGTGAACAGTTATTTATGTAATTTATTGAATTTTAATTTCATTACTTGTTGCAGTTTGCAAGTTAAGTTTCATTTCGTTTATGAATATATTTTATATTTCATTTCAGTTTATGAATGGTTATGAAATGTCATCTCAAAAATCTGCTCAAAAACGCTGTACATTGTAAATGTATAGTTAGGGCATTATTGATTTATGTGTCCATGTGTAGATGAGGTGGCCCATACTAGTCTTGTTCCAGCACTTAATAATCCTCTTGGTGGCCCTGGCAACAGTCATAAGTGTGAAAAAGTGTCGTCAGTCACTTTTTTTCATTGTAACTTCAAATGGTCACTAAATGCGTGATTGTACGTCGAGGACTCCCTGTATGAAGTTTTCTTACTGCATGTCTGTTAAAATATACTCATATATTCTATTTTATTTTTTTCTGGAGCTTTTATGAAGAAATAAAAATTTACAATTATATCAACTCACGGGATCTTTCATCTTTGTCTTACAGTGTTCCAACATTCCAGAGCCTCCCTGAAGAGATCCTTAGTAAACTTGCTGATGTTCTTGAAGAGGTATTTGATTTTAATTTGGGGACATACTTTAAGGAATGAAGTAGCCAATCTTTTATCATGAAAGTATTTTAACCATCAGAAATGGGAGATTTCCGATGGATAAAAATATTGTACTTGGAAAAATGTCCTATTGGTTAGGGACACCGTGATAATAGTAATGTTCTTTAAATGTTAGGTACACGTCATAATCCAGCACAGGGAAATCAAAAAATCCAGGCCGTTTAAAATGAATACAAAGGTTTATTGTATATGTATGCATGGTCTCTACAAATATCTGAACTACTAACAGTCAAAGGGAATTGGCGGTAGATAACAATCAGTGGAATTCAAAGTGGGCTGAACTTAGATCTTTTGTGGGTGCAAAAGGACTCAAGACTGATGACACATTTGACCCCTCCCTCAGGCTCAGTTTGGTCATCTCCTATAATCGTACTCAACTGTGGCATTAATAGTGGTGTAAAAGGATGATACATTTTGCAATTGACCTTCCATCACACCCCATCCTAGCCCACTCCAAACATATAGGTACATAGTATAAATTCAGTCCGAATCACTACTAAAATTTGGATGGTCTGAAGCATTGAAGAATTTTCACGATAGTATAGGTGTCAGCTATACATTATCATAGCTTCATGCAGGGGTGGGTTCCTGCCAGTTCTAACCTCTTCTATAGAAGAGGTTCCACAAATCTACTGTGCCGTTTAGAACTGGTTCCAGCTCCCTCCCTCCGCCCGTCTGCACCACACTTGCCCCGCCCACCGCTCACTGATTGGCTGGCTCACCAATCACCCCGCCCGTCTCGAAGAGTGCTATATAAACCTTAAAGTCTTAAAGCTGTCAACTTCAACATCCCTGGGTCTTTTTTCCCTAAAAGGTTAGGGGTGCGAGGC